TTTTTTGGAGACAGGGTCACACTCTGATCACCCTGCCTGAAGTGCAATGTGGTGTGATCATGGTTTGCTGCAGCCTCGACTTCCTGAGTCCAGGTGATCCTCCCAACCCCACCTCCCAAGTAGATGGGACTACAAGTGAATACCACCACACCAGGCTATTTTTTTTGTATTTTTAGTAGAGACAAGGTTTTGCCATGGTCCACAGGCTGGTCTCTAACCCCTGAGCTCAAGTCATTCGCTCGCCTCGAAGACCCAAAGTGCTAGGATTTCAAATGTGTGTCACCACACCCAGGTGGATTTCCAAGAAAAAAAAAAATCAAAAACATTTGGGCATCTAAGCAAAAAGAATAAGTGACAAATATCTAAAAGCTATGCTGTCACACTTTGACAGCAATGTTATACACCAAAAGAAAATTGAGTGTTACTGCATTTAAGATACTGAAGGAAAGAAAACATGAGCTAAGAATGTTCTATCCAGCTAAAGTGACTAAGTATAAACATGGGATTCTCTCTTGTCACCGCCATGGAAGGAATGCTTTTCACCCTCTGCCATGATTCTGAGGCCTCCCCAGCCAAGTGGAACTACATGTGCATTGCCATTGCGATTTCTCTTCTCATGATTCTGATATGTGCTATGGCTGCTTATGGAGTATACAAGCAACACGCAGCCTGGATTATCCCATTCTTCTGTTACCAGATCTTTGATTTTGCCCTGAACACCTTGGTTGCATTCACTGTGCTTGTTTATCCAAACTCCATTCAGGAATACATACAACTGCATCCTAATTTTCCCTACAGAGATGATGTCATGTCAGTGAATCCTACCTGTTTGGTCCTTATTATTCTTCTGTTTATTAGCATTATCTTGACTTTTAAGGGTTACTTGATTAGCTGTGTTTGGAACTGCTACGAATACGTTAATGGCAGGAACTCCTCCGATGTCCTGGTTTACGTTACAAGCAATGACAATACAGTACTGCTACCCCTGTATGATGATGCCACTGTGAATGGTGCTGCCAAGGAGGCGCCGCCACCTTACGTGTCTGCCTAAGTGGAGCTGAGGGCAGTGGCTTGACTTTTTTGACATCTGAGCAATGGTTCTGTTATTTCACTTTTGCGATGAGCTCTCTGAGCTTGTTTGTTGCTGAAATGCTACTTTTAAAAATTTAGATGTTAGGTTGAAGCCTGTACTTTTCAGTATATGCTTTACTAGAACACTGTGATAGATGAGCTGTAGAATTCTTTCTGTAGGATTCGGGGTGTAATGGGCTTCACTAACCTTCCCTAGGCACTAAAACTTCCCCCAAATCTGATGGACCCAGAGTCAGAGAAGTTTGCTTTTGTACCTGCTGGGCTCCAAAGTTAGGCAGGTAGTCACACTTTTTCTCTCTACTCACTCTATTTTGAAAGTGTAAAATAAAACCAAAAGTAGACAACTTTTTCTTAAGCCATTCCAGTATAGAGAACAAAACCTTATGAAAACAGGAATGCCAACTGTGTAATCATTGTTCTAATTAGGTAAATAAAAGTCCTTACATATGTATTACAAGAATTTGCCCCACAGCATCCCTTACGACTTAAGTTCAATGACAATTTGCACTTGGTGGTAAAGGATTTTTCTCCATGGCCTCAATCAAGACCATTAGAAAGTGCTAGGCTGTGGGAACAGTAACCATCTGATGACTGTTCTCATGCATCCGGGTCCAGGGACATGGGGCAACGTGCCTCGTCTGTGTTAGAGGGTGGGACAGGTGTGTTTGGCGCTGCACGGGATCTGGTGCTCCTCTCCTGGATTTACATCCTGACCCAGGGCCTGCTTTTACTAAGCGTTCTGCCCTAGCCCGGTTCAAGGAGATCATCCAGCTGACTTTATCAAGAAGAATTGGGATATTTTTGATATACATTTGCCTGAAAACTGGGAAAAGGGTTTTCCTCCTCCTTTCCCTCCCTCCTTTCTCCTGCTTTGAACTTCCAAGTATACCTAGTGACCTTTTAAAATGTAAAAGTTTTCAGAAAAATGAAGGTTACTTTCCTTGTATGTGCTTATTATCTTAACTACCTGAACTGCAAGGGATTTTTATATATACATATGCTCCAAAGTCAGCAACTCTCCTGTTGGTTCATTATTGAATGTGCTATAAATGAAGTATTTTGCAATTAAAAAGAGATTTGCCCACATCCCAAAAAAAAAGTATAAACATGGCAAACTGTCATTCAACATGCAAGAACTTAAAGAACACTATTCACATGTGCTATCCCTTAGGAATCTGCAGGAGAATGCCCTTCCAACAATCAAAACAATAAATTAACATAAAACCACTAGTAATCTACTAAAATAATCTAAAAAATTGAAAATCAACGCTGATAAAGATGTGGAGAACCAGAAACCCAGTACAGTGCTGGTGGAGTAATCGCTGGAGATTCCTCAAAAAGTTAAACATAGAACATATGTGGCAGCAATTCTACTCCTAGGTATGTATGTTAAAGACCTGAAAACAAGTATTTGTTCACAAATGTCCATAGCACTATTCACAATAGCTAAAAAGTAGAACCCAAATGTCCATCAGCAAATGAATGGATGAGTAAAATGTGGTATATCATACAAGAAAATAGTATCTGCCCCAAAAAAAGAAGCAATTAAGTACTGATAGATGACCAAACAAAAAAACAATTAAGTACTGATACAGACTACAATGTGGATGAACCTCAAAAATATTACACTGAGAAGTCAGACACAAAAGAAGCCAGAAACATACTACATGATTCCATTTATATGAAATGATACACCCACAGAAACAGAAAACAGGCTGTTGATCACCAGGAGCCAGAAATAAGAAAAAACAGGTAATAATCACCTATTGGGTATGAAGTTTTATTCTGGGGTGATAAAAATGTTTTTCCATTACATAGAGGTGGCCATTGCAAAACTCTGTGAAAGTATTAAATGTCAGTGAACTGTTTACTTTAAAAAGATTAATTTTATGGTATGTGAATTTCACCTCAATTTTTTTTTCTTTAATGAAGAAACTGTTAATTAAAAGAAATATAATGTCAAATAATCTGGTTTCGGGCCAGATGCAGTGGCTCACACCTGTAATCCTAGCATGTTGGGAGGCTGAGGCAGGTGGATCACCTGATGTCAGGAGTTCGAGACCAGCCTGACCAACATAGAGAAACCCTGTCTCTACTAAAAATACAGAATTAGCCAGGCGTGATGTCGCATGTCTGTAATCCCAGCTACTCAGGAGAATGAGGCAGGAGAACTGCTTGAACCCAGAAGGCGGAGGTTGCGGTGAGCCAAGATCATGCCATTGCAATCCAGCCTGGGCAACAACAGTGAAACACCATCTCAAAAAAACAAAAACAAAAATAATCTGGTTTCATTTATTTAAACAAAGGTAAGTGTTAAAGACTACACGAAGGAGACCAGGCTTGGTATCTCACACCTATAACCCCAGCACTTTGGGAGGCTGAGGCAGGCAGATCACTTGAGTCCAGAAGTTCGAGACCACCCTGGGCAACATGGTGAAACCCAGTCTCTACAAAAAATACAAAAACTGGTCAAGCATCGTGGCATATGCCTGCAGTCCCAGCTACTCCAGAGGCTGAGATAGAAGGATAACCTGAGCCTGAGAAACAGAGTGCAGCGAGCCAAGATCACAACACTGCACTCCAGCCTGGGTGACAGAATAAGTCCCTGTCTCAAAAAACCAACAACAACAACAAAAACACATACTAAATGAAGGCTATAATACAGAACACATAAGAGCTATATATTCTAATGATATAGATACAGTACAACTTTTTTCTTATTTTGGATACAGAGTCTCACTTTATTGCCTAAGCTAGAGTACAGTGGCTCGATGTCAGCTCACTGCAACCTCCGTCTCCCAAGTTCAAGCAATTCTCCTGCCTCAGCCTTCCGAGTAGCTAGGATTACCGGTGCCTGCCATCACACCCAGCTAGTTTTTGTATTTTTAGTAGAGACAGGGTTTCACCATGTTGGCTAGGCTGGTCTCAAACTCCTGACCTCAAGTGATCCGTGTGCCTCAGCCTCCCAAAGTGCTGGGATTACAGGAGTGAGCCACCACACCCCGTCACAGTATAACTATTTTTAAAAAAATACCACAGAGGCAAAGTCAGTTTTTAAAAAATTTAAACTACTTTACAAGTATCTACTTAGCTCTTACAAACATGTAAAATTTAACCAACAATTTCTGAAACATACTTGCTTACCTCCAGACTTCATGGAACACATATAAACACACACAAGACAGCTGCTTAATAAAAATGAAAGCTATCATTTGCAAGTAGGGAGAGAGGTGACTAAAAATTTGGATCCAAGGCAACAACAAACATCATTTCAATTTTTTTAAAGATAGCACAGGCACATTTCTCCAAACACACCATCAGTCTTGCCTGAATTCTGCCAGTAGAGTTCACAGACAAAAGAACATCTTACTCCCATCATCCAAGCAAATGAACCAGGTAACAATAACACTCTGGATGTTTCTGAAGATCACTCTGAAATGTCAATTACCCAGAATTCTTGCAGCACTATACAAAAAGAGATGTCACCCCCAAGTGAATCTGAATCTTTCAAAAAGAACAACTTCAGTCTGGGCACAGTGGCTCACACCTGTAATCCTAACACTTTGGGAGGCCAAGGCGGGTGGGATCACCTGAGGTCATGTATTCAAAACCAGCCTGGCAAACATGGCAAAACCCCATCCCTACTAAAAATACAAAAATAATTAGCTAGGCGTGGTGGCAGGCACCTATAATCCCAGCTACTCAGGAGGCTGAGGCAGGAGAATCGCTTGGAACAGAGTGGGGTCGGGGGGCAGGCAGAGGTTGCAGTGAGCTGAAATCATGCCACCTTATTCCAGCCTGGTTGAAAGAGCAAAAAACTCCAACTCAAAAAAAAAAAGAACAATTTCTCAATCACTGAATAAATTCAATTCAATTTAATTCTGCATTACAGCACTTTGCCCTGATTTTATGGAAATCTCGTATATAACAAATGCATATTTCCACAGAAAACTGTAGTAAGAAAATTAAGGAAAAAAAAAAACCAAATGCAAATGTAAAGAACTACCAATATTTTGGAATATTCAATTAATCAGAACAAAAACACTGGCCTACATTATTAGAATAACCAGACCCAACTTTACATAAAAAGCAGGGTCCTGAATGGCTTCCAATTTTTAAAATAGAACCAAAATTATCATAACCCCCATGATGATTTTAACAATTAGCTAATTAAAGGTTAATAAATGTGAAGAAAAATCACTATTCACTTTAACATTGAAATTGTAATACACTTACCTATTCATAGTTCCAGATACATCAACATCATTCATAAAACATTCAATGCTCAAGGGGAGATCTGAAGCATTTGCACTCATCAATTTCTTGAGTTTCTCACACTCCTGAGAGAGTCGTAATAAAGCCCGGATTTTGGACTTTATGTCTAGCTTGTATTTCTTCCCAAATTCTTCACAGAAGTGATTTACTAACACTTCATCAAATTTTCTGCCTCCCAATGTTGTGTCAAATGCAGTGGCCAGAACCTTAAGGAAAAAATGAGAATTAATCTAACAATTACCGAATCAATTTTGAAATAGACGAGATACATTGACCTGGTAAGTTATTTTAAAAAAAAGAGGGAGGGTTACATTAAGGTTAAAACAAGGCAATGTATACATCATTTAATCCTTATGACAACTACATTGTAAAAATAGGCACTATAATCCCCAATTTACAGATAATGCTACAGACCTAGACAGATGAGATAAACCTCTATGCACAAAGCTACTAAGTGGTAGAAGTGGGATTCAAAGCCAAATCTCCTTAAATCCAAAGTCCATGCCTTCCCCACTACACCAATCTGACCCCCAATAGCAGTTACATGTCCAAGGTAAAATACACTAACATTTCATGTACACACTTCTAGTCTACTCAGTAGCACAAAACTGAGTAATACTAAAGGCTCAACTCTCTGCAGATTACTACCAACGGATTTGTTAAAGCCTTAGCTCACAGCAATGTGTTTCCATTTAACCCGGAAGTCTAATTAGCTTGGGTTATCCATTCTCAAATCTCTAAAAGATTAGAAGCGAACTAGATCTAATTAGATTCAGTAACAGAAGTGAGGCTAAATAAGTGATGACATTGTTATTAAGGAGTAAAACCAGTTAAAAAGAAAAAAACCTCTTCAAAGAATGCAAAACGTGATGGGGGAAATTTTCTACATTAACTGAAAAAAAGAAAACAGGACACAGAGCTAAATATATGACTCCGATTCTGTTTTCTTAGAAAACCAGAATGAAATACACCAAACTGTAGAGAATGGTAAGATTATAAGTAACTTTTCTCTCTCTCTCTTTTTTTTTTTCCCTGAGATACAGTCTCACTGTGTTGCCCAGTCTGGAGTGCAGTGGCATGATCTCAGCTCACTATAGCCTTGACCACACAGGCTCAAGCAAACCTCCCACCTCAGCATCCCAAGTAGCTGAAACTACAGCCACACATCACCACATTCAGCTAATTTTTCTATTTTTTTTTTTTTTGTAGTGAAGGGGTTTCACCATGTTACCCAGGCTGTTCTCAAACTCCGGGCTCAAGCGATCACCCCAACTCAGCACTACATGCAGCTAACTTTTGTAGAGACAGGGTTTTGCCATGTTGCCCAGACTTTTCTTTACACACAAGTGTTTTCCAAATTTGGGAACGTTTTTATGATGAATATTTTTATCATTTAAAAGTAATTGGAAGTAATTTAAAAGGATTGGAAAAGAGAGAGATAACAGCTGACAATGAAGGACAATTTAGAAAAACAAAAGCAGATGGTCACTTAATACATATCACTCTGATCCAAAGCCAGGCTAAATTATGACCAGAATCTTCTGTTTATAAAAAGATGAAAGCATAGCATAGATCTTATAAATAATTCTATTAGGATTAAAGTTTAAACATTGAAAATTACAATGGCCCACCATTTTTAGATGTAAAAAAGGAAAATCACAAATCTTATTCTCCAATTATCTAAAAAATTTGCTTTACTTCTCTTTTTTTTTTCGGAGACAGAGTTTTGCTCTTTTTGCCCAGGCTGGAAATGGCACGATCTCGGCTCACCGAAATCTCCACTTCCCGGGTTCAAGAGATTCTCTCCTGCCTCAGCCTCCCAAGTAGCTGGGATTACAGGCATGTGCCACCATGCTCGGCTAATTTTGCATTTTTAGTTGAGGCAGGGTTTCTCCATGTTGGTCAGGCTGGTCTCAAACTCCCAACCTCAGGTGATCTGCCCGCCTCGGCCTTCCCAAGTGCTGAGATTACAGGTGAAAGCCACTGCACCTGGCTTTTTTTTTTTTAACTACCTAGAAACAACATAAACCAGAAAATAAAATAGAAAAGTCTGTTTTTCAAAGAAACAGGACCATAACAAACAAAAGTCTCAAAATGCCTCCAAAATTACCAAATATTTAGTTTGGGGTAATCACTCTCCACCAATCTCCAATTAGCACAAGGGGGTCAATTTAGACCTTGGAACCAAGAATTTTAATATACAATTCAAATAATTAAAGCAAACACCTGAAAAATCCTTGGTTCTTCACCAAATTGTAGATAAAATCATCTAGACAGAGAATTTTATACCCTACTGTGGAACTAGCATAAACCAGCAAACTCAAGTGTGACAGAGATCACCCTCTAGCTCCTCCTTGCCTTCTACACTTCTGTGTGTACAAAACTGCTTAAATTTAAGGCTTTCCAGGAATCTGTAACTCCGAGTCCAGTTTCTTTTGGAATCCGAAAGAAATCCCTTTTCCAGAACACTGAAAACCTCAAGAGTAAGAGGACAGAGCACCTGTATCCCCCTCTTAATCCCCAGTGTAAAATTCACTAAAGAACTACATTTTTAAAAAATCCTGCTAGGCCAGGCGAGGTGGTTCACACCCCCAGCACTTTGGGAGGCCAAAGCAGGTGGATCACGAGGTCAAGAGATCAAGGCCATCCTGGCCAACATGGTGAAACCTGTATCTACTAAAAATACAAAAATTAACTCAGTCTCAAAAAAAAAATAAATAAATAATACAAAAATTAGCCGGGCATGGTGGTACATGCCTGTAGTCCAGGCTACTCAGGAGGCTAAGGCAGGAGAATCAGTTGAACCAGGGAGGCAGGGTTACAGCAAGCCAAGATTGTGACACTGCACTCCAGCCCTGGTGACAGCACAAGACTCCATCTCAGAAAACAATAAAAAATAAAAAATCCTAATAACCTGTGAGGTATGCATTATTTTTCCCATATTATAGATGAGAAATAATAAATCATCTTTCAAAAATTCATAATTACCATACTAGTAACATAGTCTTCTGGAAAAAAAACTATATACTTACTTTCAGTTTTCCTCTATTAAATGCACATAGAGAAACTTGATAAGCAGAATGGCCCATGTCTACAAAAACTACATTTCTTGGTTTCTCTTCTAAGGCAGGAAGATCTTGCTTATAGATTCCATATGCAAGAGCAACTACAGAAGAAAAAAAGCAAAAATTAAACACAGTAGTATCATCTAAGTAGTAAATAAAATTCATTTAAGCAGGAAAAAAGTTTTATATATAATGAATGCAACTACATGTGTTATGTTTTAGAAACCAAATTCTTTATAAGCACTGTATAATTTATTCAAGAACAAGATTATCTTCCAAGAGTTAAATACTGACATTCACTTAGACTTTCTTACAGTTGCCAATGGAGGCCGGGTGAGTGGCTCACACCTATAATACCAGCACTTTGGAAGACTGAGGTGGATGGATCACAAGGTCAGGAGTTGGAGACCAGCCTGGCCAACATGGTGAAACCCTGTCTCTACTAAAAATATAAATATTAGCCAGAGTCCCACCTACTCGGGAGGCTGAGGCAGAACTGCTTGAACCCAGGAGGCAGAGGTTGCAGTGAGCCAAGATGGCACTACTGCACTCCAGCCTGGGCGACAGAGCGACAGTCTGTCTCAAAGAAAAAAGAAAAAGACTTCCTTACAGTTGCCAGTGGACTTTGGCAATTTTCCCCAAACCATTTCCCCTTCTTTCCAAATATATTTTCCTGGATTTCTTCTATGTCTATGCTATGTTAACATCCCCACACGTTCTGTCCATGAGATGCTGCTTAACGTCCCATTCCTCTGACCCTACCAGTCCACAAGTCTAAGAGAAGGCCAATCTTTAAACCAAAGCACTGCTCCACACACTAAGCGTGCTCCTTCCCCAACAAGCATGTCATTAAATACCAAAACGCATGCTATAAGGGTACACAAAAAGTACTAGTCAGATTAATTCTTCACAAGTGACACAGTATCCAAAAACACCATGACACGGTGGTAAGCAAGGGTGGCAGCACTGAAAGCAAAATAAAGATCAAGAAGCCCAAAGGTTTTGAAATTTCACACTCTTCAAGATTAGTCAAAAAAAGTAATAATCAGTCATTCTTACCCGCAGTAGTTTCATTCATTAATCGCAAGCAATTAAGACCAGCAATCTGTGTTGCATCCATCACCGATCGTCTTTCTGCATCAGTATAGAAACAAGGAACCTATAAAAACAAAAATGAATGTTTACTGTATTATATAGATTCTAATTTTAGTTAGTAATGAACGCCATCAAATCCCTACAGAATTTATTCTGTATATGATAAAGAAGATATTTCAAACTAGTAGGGAAAATTTAGAATATTTAGTAAGCAGTGTTAGGATAACCGAACAGCCATTACCATTACCTTACATACACACATTACATGGCAGGCCAAAATACCAACAGCTAAAGTAGTGACCACAGAAGAGTTAATATGGAGGCCAAATACTGCTATCCTTAGAAAATGCCTGCTTGCATGTTGGCCCTTGCCTAGCATCTAGGATCTTGATTCATAAACAGTTCACTAAATCAACAGACAAAGTTTCCCTAAATGATTAAGAGTGACTCACTGTACCTAAACTGTTTACGTAAAAATGTAGCTTGTGCTGACTGCCGGCCTTCCTTCTGGGAGTCTGGAATTTTGGTTCATGCTAGGTGTAGGATACCAATGTGACTGATCCCCCAATAAAAACCCTGGATTAGCGAGGCATGGTGGCTCATGCCTGTAATATCAGCACTTTGGGAGGCCAGGGTAGGTGGATCACCTAACGTAGGAGTTTGAGACCAGCCTGGCCAACATGGTGAAAGCCCCTCTCTACAAAAAAAAATACAAAAAAAAAAAAAACCTAGCTGGGTCCCTGGTGGCACATGCCTCTAATCCCAGCTACTCCCAAGGCTGAGGCAGGAGAATTGCTTGAACCTGGGAGAGGTAGAGGCTCTAGTGAGCTGAGATCATGCCACTGCACTCCAGCCTGGGAAACAAGAGCCAAGTACCATCTCAAAAAAAAAAAAACCACCACCACCACCACCTGGATCCACAGGCTCAGGCAGACAGGCAGACAGGCAGAACTCCCAGAATTCCTGTGGAAGAGGACATTTCACACGTGTTGTTATCACCTGTTGCTGGAGTTGAGCACATGCTGACTCTGGGAAGCTTGTGCCTAGTTTCCTCCAGACTCTGCCTCGTGTGCCTTTTCCCTTTGTTGATTATCTTTTGTATCCTTTGACTACAATAAATCTTAGCATGAGAACAGCTATATGCTAGGGCCTGTGAACACTTCTAAGCAAATCACCAAAACTCAGTGTGATCCTGAGGCCCCACCCAAACATGACTCAACACTATCACCTTTTAACTTGATCCTCAAAGCTGGAAAAGACACTTAGACATTCCAGTATTTTATATAAATTTTACTCCCACACAAAACATAATGCAGGATCAAAGCTAGGGGCAATAGATGAAGGAATGGAAACAAACCTGGGAGACCAATGGAGAGCTGAGGAAAGATAGGAAACATCTAAGAAATACAGTCTGCTGTATCAGCCACTGGGGAATCAAGGCCACTGAATCTGAGCTTTTTAAAGGAACACAGCATTTTTATTCTTCTATAAAGAATAAAACCCATCCCCAGAATGGGGTACACAACTGTAATCCAATTCTTTCTGACAAATGTCAATTCTACTTTACTATTTAACCAAGGACCAAGGAATCCACCAGGCAACAGACTCTGGGGTGAAAAAGCCACCTAACAGTCCTTGCTTTGCCAATCAGTGCACCAACATTAAGACAAAAGAGGCCACAAAACTAAAGTATCAGGTAACAACTGCAGAATGACGAGATTCAGTGGCAAAGTCAATGTTAACCATACATAGTTCAACAGTACCTAAGGATTCCACCATTACTACAAGCACAAAGCTACAGGTAGCCAGGTTTCTATCTTAACAGGGATATGAAAAAGATAAGATAAACTGCTGTCATGTATTTATGGGTTTTTTTTGTAGAATTTTTTTTGAGACAGGGTCTCACTCTGTTGTCTAGGCTGGAATGCAGTCATGTGATCAAAGCTCACTGCAGCCTCAAACTCCTGGGCTCAAACGAACCTCCCAAGTAGCTAGGACTAGACGTGTGCACCACCATGCCCAGCTAATCTTTTTTTTTTTTTTTTTTTTTTTTTTCCAGCAGAGATGGGGGTCTCACTGTACTGCACAGGCTGGTCTCAAACTCCTGGCCTCAAATGATCCTCCTGCCCTGGCCTCCCAAAGTGCTGGGATTAAACCACCATGCCCAGCCTGTGCCTTTGTGTTTAATGCTAGATACCAACAACAAATACAAATAGAGAACAAGTGCCATTTACAGCTGGGGTATTCAACTAATTCAACAAATGAGTGACTACCCTGTGCCAGGCACTATGCTAGGTGATGAAAAAAAATCCAGAAAGAAATGGGCAGGCTGAGATAAATGCACCTTGAAGAGCAGAATTTAAATAGGCAGAATATCAAATGAGGCCTGAGCAAAAGCTCAGCAGCAGAGAAGAGTATTTAAGAAAATGAGGCCGGGACGGTGGCTCATGCCTGTAATCCCAGCACTTTGGCAGCTGAGGCAGGTAGATCATGCAGTCAGGAGTTCAAGACCAGCCTGGCCAAGACGGTGAAACCTCGTCTCTACTAAAAATACAAAAAAAAAAAAATTAGCCCGGCATGGTGGCGGGCACCTGCAATCCCAGCTACTGAGGAGGCTGA